TAAATGCAGTTTAAAAGCAAAAATCTGTTGATCAGATGGAAGTCAACAGGGTCAATCGTCCAGTGCATTTACAGTAAAAGATCAGAAACTCCCGCGAATAAGCATGTAAATCATCTGCGATCACTGGTCGTTTCCCATAACTTTTCCCACTGTGAGTGTCTCCTTTCCCAAGATTTAAGTGCTTTCAGAAGTATGCCACTGAGGGCGAAAGTAGGCGCTGCGCGGATGTATCAGCCGCAGGCGGTGGGGACCGGGGAAAGCTGACTCCTGATGCCGTGCCGAGGTCCGGCTCCATTTGCCGCGCTGACTAAGCCCGGATTCGCGGTGCCAGCGGTCCGCCAACTGCTGACACAACAGGTGCTGCCGATAAAGTCAAACTTAAGATCCCAAGGAAACTCCCCGGAGACGCGTTAACCATTAAGACGCCGCCTTTCCTCTCTCGGTTTATAGAGACTCTAGTGCTTCACGAGAGCCATCCTAGCTGATAAAGCAGACCGCATGGGATTCTGGAGGTGAAGTTAAATAATTACTATACATAAATTATAGGCAGCTGGATAAACGCATATAGGCCTGTAGAAAACAGATAGCAGCATAAGACGGCGAAAGTGAATATGGGAATAATCATTATTATAATAATAATAATAATAATAATAATAATTATTATTATTATTATTATTATTATTATTATTATTATTAAGTGTTGGCTACAGCTCCCCCGCGACCCAGATGGATAAAGCGGTATAGATAGCCTAATGGATGGATGGATAATCAAGTGGACTTGCTAAGTCTATAGAAAATAGGGCATTCTATGAATGGATATAAGAATGTCGCTGTCTTCTATTGCGTAATACGTTTTGTTCATTGTAATGCACACAGCTTTCTTATTGAATTCGCCTATAACCTTCCAAAGCCCTTCGCCATGCCATTAATTATTCTCTCCTTACTTTCAGTCCTTTCCCCGGGTCAATAAATGTTCCATGACTTATGTGCTTTTTAATTATTTCTGCGCCATCTGTGAAATCAGCGCAGCCTTCCGCTTTAGCCCGCATTCGGCATGCAGAGGAATAGCAGAGACATGGTGTAAACACGGTGTCCGAGGACGGTGACACGGTGAACCTGAGCAGGCACAGCGGGGGCCCTCATTTTACCCGGAAAAAAAAATCAAAAGCAAATGTTTGAAAAAGTCACTGACTGTCAAGACTGAAAGCCAACACCTATGTGCGTGTCGGTGATGTGCGGCTGTAACGATGCCCAGTCGAGCGGAAAGCGGGCTACATGCTTTTGTTTAAAGGAGAGGATCACATTGCAGTCCAGTCTGCAGGACATGTCAGCACCTCCCTCTCCCTCCCTCACAGTTTTGTCTGTGGCTTTCCTGGTGGTCCTGCGTGAATCAACTGGGTGTTTGAAAAATAACCAAAGGTATCCAGTATTATAAACGGAAAGCTGAAAAACACAGCAGCGGACCTCTATAAATGTCTGCTATGCCATTAACGTGATTAACGTGTGTATCTCGGCGATGTATGATGCCATATTACTGCATTAAACCTTTCTCTTGCAAAATATAGAAATCTATTGTGATGGATGCCAGCCCATCACAGGGCACGGGGCCAGGGTATACCATGGGCAGGATGCTGGTCCATCACGGGGTCGGGGTACACGGGGTACATTTTAGATATGCCCCTTAACCTAACTGTGTGGCTTTAGACTGTGGGAGGAAACCAGACTACCCAAGGGATTAAATAAATCCATCCATACATCCATTCACCCATTTTCTGTACCCGCTTTTCCTGTGCAGGGTCACGGGGTCAATAACCAACATTTTCATATATTTTAAAGTTGCAAAGACATACAGTAAATGAGATTATTTGTTTATAGTATGTATTATTATAGGTATTTTTGAGATTATGCAGTAAAGCGGGTCACCATCTTGTGCTTTTGGAAGTTTGTTAAGCATGATAAAAACAATATGAAAACTATCTATCCATCCAACTGTCTATCCATCCTCTACCCTTCCTGTGGTGGGGGTGGTTGAAAACGATTTCTACATTAATCTTTACTCATTTCAATCAAAATACATGGTTGCAAATAAACAGGAGAAACTGCTTTGAGGCTAGAGACACCTGGTGGTTATGTCTGGAAGCTACAATTTAATTTATGACGATCACATTGGCCGGATTAGCCTTCCGCTACCAAGTTAAGCGGCTAACAGGCCGATCGTATTTATCCCATTCTGCATGGCTATCATGTGGCATCTATGGCCGTAGGGAACCACTCAGTACTATTTAGCAGATCAAGCTTATTGCTTGTTGCTTTTTTTTTTTTTTTTTTTACATTAAATTCCGATTGCTTCTAACTCTGGACCAATCACAGAGCACGGAGTATTAAAGGCCCGGAGAGTTCTAAAGCCGTTCGCGTGAGCTTAGTTTGACATTTCTGCTTCAGTGTTTATTCAAACTGCACTGAATTTATTCATGCTCCAAATTAGAATATTATGAATGATGAATTATTAACGATAACAGTATCACACATAATCTAATCCCTTCCCACAGAAGAAGCATTGTGCTGGTTATTCTCTTGCTTGTGTGCCTGTGCGGATCCCACACCCAGTCCTGCCGTGACTGGATCTGCATGCTAATTGAGCGTGGAGGTGAGATAAAGGACAAATCTGGGTTGGATTCTGCTTGTCATTCTGGCAACAAAAGGCAGGTAGAGCCTAACATTTACTTAAACTTAGACATGCACAATTATCTTGAAATCCTGTAGTTTTAAACTTTGTTCTGCCTCACTTATTTGTGTAGTGGAAGTTTTTTTTTTATTGCATTAAACCGTGGAGTTCAGGTATTTTATTATAATCTTACCTAGAAGCATCCAAACAAGGGAATTACCAAAATAAATCCCTTGAAATGTTTATACAGTTACTATGTGGCACATGTTTATGGAGTACAGAGACATTTAGGCAACATCTGCAGATGTGACGCCCCCTTGCAATGGCAGACACGCAGAGATCACATGACCTTTGGTGGCGTTTCCATAACATGCATGAAGACCATCGCCTTCATCCTGTCCTGCCTCCACCCTTTGCCAGAGACCCTGTGCCCTTTCCTCCTATAGCTGTCTCCAGAGGTGGAAAAGTTCAGGTACATTAAGTCAAATCCAGACCAAGATTTTGTTTCAGCCAACCAGCTGAGTATAAAGAGTCACAGTTACAGTGTCCTCAACTGGTTGGATGAAACAAAATCTTGGCCTGGATTTTTGCTTTTTAAGCACCTGAACTCCCCACCTCTGGCCGTATCTTCTTTTCTCCCACTTCCTTTTAGTGTGAACAGTACGGTAAGGCCCACACTACAGTGCTATCTTTGCTGTCCGCTTAATGCTCTCCTACTTTGTCAGCAAATTCAGTGCTTTGATTCTCCTAATTACCAGGGATTTATCTCCTGCTCCTCTTCCCCGTTTCTTGTTTTGTTGACCAATTGACACAGAGTTTCTCTCACAACAAATATACCAGTTGATTCTGCCATTTTTCATGTAAAAGCCTGCAACGGACACTGAGTCCAGGTCCATGACTACAAACTTCACGGAAAGCTAACCTGCCGCACAGCATCTTCTGCATGTTATGAGTTGCACACATTCTTCACAGAGGTGTATCTGCAATAGAATTAGCCAGAAACGTTGAGTTCCCTTTACCCAGCACCCCAGGTTCAATGCTGAAATAAACATCGCTGAAACATTCCTGTAATACTCCATTCCTGACATGTTCATCAAGTAGAAAAGCACAGTGCCAAGGATAACAATTTTATTCTGAAATCGATGCCATTAATGTCTGTGAGGCATGAGGCTGTACAGACACACGCACCCACATGCCGGCCTTCTGCGCCTGTAGAGGTTCCTTTTTTTGTGCTTCTGCCCCCAAGCTTAACTGGCCTGGACCCAGCCACTGTGAGCACTGGCAGGAGACACTGCAGCCGTGCTCACGCCGGTTACGACCCGCTTATCTCTCTCTGCTTCTCGCGGAAGCTCAATCTTTGCAATGAAAATCAGCTGAACGGGACACGGAACACAACAAAAATCCAAAAAGAACGGTGTTCGCAAGACTGATACCACTAGGAGAAAAAGAGAGTCCATAGCTGTAATGCTGCAGCCAGGTGACGTGTGATTATATTTAATGAGGATGAATGCAACTTGTATTAAGTGTATTTATATGTAGCGAAAAACAGCAAGCTGAATAACCAGAGTAGAAATTAAAAGAAAATAAGATGGTAAATAAACTTTTTTGTGATGTTTAAAACTTTTTCTTTTTACTAAGACATTGCACCTGTGGATAACAGTTCAATTGCAGTGCAGTTGGCCGTTAACAAAAACGTGCATTTCAACGTAAAACATTTTAATTGATTTATGCTCACGTTAACGAAGCTGATGTTCGGCAGATATTGTAACGTTTCCGTGACTTCTCTAATTGATGTCCGTTTAAAGCATTAAACATCACGATAGAGAGCAGCCGAGGCAGCGCCGCACTGAGCACGACGCTCGAGCACTCGCATGTTGCGCCGCTTATCTGCCTCGCGCCTCCGTCGCTGTGTGGCGAAATTACTGCGCATGTTGGGCGACAGGTGAACGGCGCGCCTCCATCTTTGGCATGGCGATGTAGGGCAAAAGGACAGGGGACGCATGCAGCGGCTCTGCGATCGCAACAGCGTGCAGAAATAGCGTGCAAATGCTTTTCGGTCTCCGTGTCGCTGCGATCGGAGCTCAATTGTAAAGGCAGGAAAGGCAAATAAAATGAGCAGGAGGGGGACGGGGGACTTCAGGAAGGCGCGTTGGTAATTGCACAATCAGCGGTATTTAATATATCCAAATTGCAGGGCGTGGGATATTCGGTTTTAAGGAAAGCGCCAATCATATGGTGAGTCTGTATTCTTTTTGGCTGTTTTATGTTTGTGACATGTAGCAAAATTTAATATTTATACATTGCTCCCCCTTATCCATCTCCATTTTCTGCATCTCTTGGTCCATCTTCCAGCATGGTGGATGTTCTCCCTGTCTTTTTGTTTTTTTTTCTTTCCTCCTCTCTTTCCCTCTATAGGCAACACATTTAAAAACGCCGGAACGAATGTAAGTGTAAGTAGAATGCCAAATTGCGTCCTGGTTTTATGTCTCCGAGATTAAATTGGTATTACCAAAATAGCGATTATTATGACGCGTGCTTTTTAAAATAATGGTGTTGGTGGGATGTGAAAACCACGTGACAAGATGTAAACCTGCGTTACTCTAAAGGAAAATGGTGAGCATGCAGTGCGTCCCACTGAACTGCTTTATGCTAACATTTCATTTAATGTGGACGAAGGAGCCATTTTGTTGTTTTTCATCCAATTACGGTCGGTGTCAACAATCAATCATTTACAATAAAACATTAAAAGGAATGAAACAGAAGACTAAATGGATATAAATTAAATAAATTATTAAAATAACTCGGTATGGGTAAATGTATTTCATGAAAAATGTCTAAATATATATAAAAAAACGTATAATGTACACTTATATTTTATATTAAGCTGAATCTTGTTCATGTAATCTGAGGTCTTCTATTCTTAACATCGCTTTCATTTAAATGCTCATGGGTGTTATTAAAACTATCGTGGGTATAAGTTTTACTGCGGGACATGTGACAAGGAATTATTTGTGCAAATTTGTTGCCAGGCTTGTCAGACAGTACACTTTATGCCCTGTCAGAAACCCCCTTTAAGTTCCTAACTCCACCTTACTGGACCATCAGTGGTGTTACTCTACGGGCAAAGTTTTTGGAACCAAGAATTCCAGGAATGCGGATTATTTCACTCGTCCATTTGTCAAAACCTTGTGAGGCTCGGACCTCCTCTCGCTGTGCCCACGGCCTCTGCAGCAGTGAGCGGTCTTTGCTGGAGTTTGTCTGAAGCGCCCATCCACAGTCTCCTTCTGTTCACCTAAGAATCTGGGAGCACCTTTGAGTTCCCCTTAGATAGGAGCTACTGATGCCATCTCTCCATAGTAACACTTGCCATGAAAAGTGCCCATTTATAACAGGGCTTTCGTGTGTGATTTGCAGCTGGAGAGCTGAGAGAATCACTCACTTTCCGTCCACTAAATAAGTTTTTTCCCCCCCCAGTGTTAGTTTCCATTTAAACTCTAGACTAGAAGATGCTCTTTAAAAAGCTTTTGTTTTTCTTTCTCAAAACCTGGAAGCCTGTTCTGTGGCTTTTATTAAGTACTCTGCTGTTCCAACAAGACCGATGTCTCGTCGATTCAAATGAAATTAAGTAATTTATTAGGTGCTGGTAACTGACAAAGAGCACGAACGAAAGCTTTTAAGGGATAAGAATCGTTGGCTCCCGGTAACACAAGAACACCTTACGTGATGTTGTATCGTTTAAATCAACAAGTATACATATATAATTTAAACCAGTCAAACAGCAACATTTAATTTCAGATGGCTTTGACAGGGAGACATGTCAATAAGAAGAAAAAATATCAAGAAACGGACTTACTAGGTGGACTAAGCAGGAAATGAGTCCCAGCACATGTGAGGGGGCGGATGGATACGTAGAGGGAATACAAAGCATGACGCAGTCAGTATCAAATCACGACACAGCACATCTATTTGGTGAAACTAATTTATGTTGTGCAGTACTGACTGCATGCGTCACTACAGAATAACCGGGAGCTCAGTGCGTTTCCCGCTCAGTGCCTCAAAACTGAATGGCTTCATTTTTAGTGAAGTTTATAAAGTTTGAAACCCAAATATCAAGTAGAAAACTGTTGGCTAATTGAGAATCTAATCAGCAGCTGTAGATCTGTTCACTGTTGCACTGTTCAAAAATTCTTCACATAATGACACTTAACATCTCGAGAGGAACGATGCTGAAGAACTTGCACTACGCGTCAAAAGTTTAACACACTTGAGATTTTATACATTTGCATATTACTCACTTAACATTTATTAAAAATAAACTCAGTATTCTTTGCTACCAAATACATTTACAGCATGTTCAACATTTCAGTACCTTTATTAGCAAGAAAATGTAATATCTACATCAAAGTAACCTCGTTTAGCAGTTATAACAGCAGAGAAAATGTGAGGCATTAAAAACTGCTCTGATTCACACCTAACTAGTGCATTTAAAGTTAAAAGACAACCTTGAATCTGATTATGCCATCACCACACAACCAGTTAATAGGATTTTTATTTATAATTGTTCACTCAACTTCCCAAATGCTTAACAAGAATAAAAAAATCTGCAGTTTATGAAATATTTGGAAAAGCGGTAAAACCTGGCGTGTGCAAAAGGAAAAGAAAAAAAACAAACACTGGCAGATGTCTATTCTGCCTCAAATTTGACAGGAAGCCCCCCAGGGAGGCCAGTGCAGGACAGATATGTACACAGATTTTATGTCGATGGCATTACGTGTCATTTGGAGAAACTGCTGGAGCAGATTGTGTCACAGTAATGCCACTCATTTCTCGGTCATCAGCACATAACTGTAATTGTCGATGCCGGCAATATTCTGCAGGGGAAATGAAGACAATGGGTGAAATCCAAGAATCATGTTTATTTCAGGACCTGATGTGTTTTGTGACTGAAACGGCGTTTCCGGTCCAGAGAGTTTGCGGAGTAGCTTACATTGATTTGTATGTTATGGAATTAGCAATAGTAGATAATAGAAAACTTGCAGTGAAATTACAGTGGGCCCAACAGAGAGCCCTGTGGCACTCCTCACTGGTAAAGTAAGAGAATGTATTACAGTTAGACTGCAGTTAGTACAATCACGATGAGAAATATATGTTTTAATTAACAAATTTTCACAACTTGAAGTTTTCAGCAAGATCCATGGCCTGCGTAAATTATTTCTTTTAAATTATGTATATACAGAGGAAGTCTCACTTATCACTTGAAAAATATGCCATGTTAAGGGATTGCAGGTCTTTGAATTACAAACAAAGGAATTTTTGCTGGTAGTTGTAGATGATCACAGTGATGGGTCATGCACAGTTTAACCCAGGCCTTGATTCCTTGTTTCCATTTAGGCTTTTCAGTTTGTGCATTTGAAGATGAGCGTGATCAGACTCGTCCTGCTGGTCCTGCTCTTCTCCCTGCTGATGCTGGAGGGATCAGCTAAAGAAAAATCCGCAAAGAAGGGAAAGAAAAAAGGAAAGCAGGTCTACTGCCCCTCGTGAGTGTGCCGCCCTGCTGGCCGCTCTGTGCTGGTGATGCCCCTCTGGTTGTTCTCTTTTGAGATGCTTCCAATGAGAGCCATTCAGTTTACGGCCAAAATGTTTTTAGTTTAGGCTTAATTTGTTTGGCCTTTTTTTTTTTATAGAAAAAGCCGGGAGTGATCGTGTGTGTCAGTGTTTGTAGGATGCAGCTTCTTAGGTTTCGGAGTTAATGTTCTTTGGGTTGTCAGAGTCCTCGGGAGGACGGCTGGGGCTGGGGAATGCTTCGGAAAATGGGCCAGATGCTTTGATCTTTGGAGCTGAAAGTACTCACACTTGACTTCGTACTTCAACAAAACTTCTTGCGCAGCTAAAAAGCTCCCTTAGAGTCATGCAACAACATGTACAGTGAGTTTATTTGGCAGAGTTTTCAGGGGAGGTGGTGGGTTATAATGCCATTCGTTTTAGGTGTTTCTTCAGTACCTTTCACCGGTATTATTGAAGTTACCACAACTTTTAAACACTTTTAATACGTTTTAATACAGGAAACTGACGCCTCATCTTTTATGGGAACCATAGGACCAGTTAGCAAATGTCCCAATGGAGACTTCCACACTGAAACATGGTGTGGATGTACAATTTTAGGCATATAATTTTTCCCATTTCCATTTGTTGACAGTGCCGTTTCCTCAGATGTTTAATGAGTCCTGTTGATCTCGGCAAGGCGTTTCAGCAGAGCTCGCTGTTTTGCTGATTTCTGCAGGCAGTTGTCATCTGAAGATCTTGCTCGAGGTCCTGCCAACACGACGAGCAACATACTGAACCGGTTGCTGGTGAGCTACGACCCCAGAATCCGACCAAATTTCAAAGGTTGGTCTGGCCCTGTGTTTCCTGCTGACTTATTGGTTGCCTTTGTGTGACAGTGAATAGCTTCCATCCATTTGACACAATAATATATAATATGGATTTTTGGTGGGGTGGTATTCATAGAAATATGAGACAAATGATTTCTACTCAAGAAAAATGTGAAATGCAAATGAATGAAGGAAAATGCCCATCCATCCATCCATCCATTCATCCATCCATCCATCCATCCATCCATCCATCCATCCATCCATCCATCTGTCCTCTAAACATTTACCCTGGGGGGGGGGTGCTGGAGTCTGTCTGAGGCACAAAGTTGGGGTACACCCTGGATGGGCTGCTATTCCATTGCAGGGCACATATACAGGAACACAGTCAAACAAACGACGTATCACTCTGGATCCTGTAGAGACACCAACCAGCCTAACTGCACGAATTTCAACTGTGGGGGGAAATCGGAGTACCCAGAGGAAACCCGCATGATTCCCAGAGAACATGCAAATTCCTCTTGTTGTACTCAAAATCTGAATTTATTATACGGCTTTTCTCTGTCTGGTAGATGTTTTTACCAAGTTCTGCATAAAGTGGTGGCTTACTTCCTGTCATCATTCCACACATGCCTCGCTCTAGCTAGGGGCACTCGGCAATGACAAGAAGACTTAAGACAGGCAGGCATGATATGGTTAAAAGAGAAAAATGCAAAGAGGATGTATAACAGAAGCAATCCACAGATATTTGCTCGGCAGCGCCGGGGCAAACCGCTAAGTCATCCGCCATGCAGCTGGGCTCCCCTGGTACCCTGGCTGGCTTTACGCTGTACGATCCCGCGCCAGACAAACAGAGGGCAGCTGTGCCTAATTGAGGGATGTCATCAGTCTTCAAATCCTAGGGTTCTCACGGCTGCCACCTGCCTTCTGGCTGCACTAAATCGGCTGCTAACAAATGTAAAATTTTAATTATAGATAGGAATTGGCGTCTGCTCTGTGATATATGGATTTATGGAATGCTTTGTGGAACTAGACAGCCAGAGTTTTCTTACCTGAAATAACTCGCCGTTTTATTTCCTAGGCATTCCAGTTGAGGACAAAGTGAACATCTTCATAAACAGCTTTGGCTCCATCCAGGAAACCACCATGGTATGACAAGTGTTGGGCAGTGATGATCTTTTTGATTGATTGATTGTTTATGGCTGGTTGACTTTAATGTGTCAAATTGTCATTAACTGAATAAGAGGATAAATGTTTTCTCATATAAAAACATTTTGATGAAGCTGTTTTCTGCCCTGTATGAAGGTATAAAGTGTGTTTCTCAATACCAAGATCAAAGATCGTACTTGTGTTCTTGCTAACGTGCCTCCCAAGAACTAACTTGGGGCGCAATGAATCATGCGATTATTCTCATTTGGTGACGATGCAACCGATGCATCCTTGACATTTGGAGCGGGGCAAGAATGCCATCTGGGATTTTTACCGTCCTCCGTACTTCTGTTCTTGAGCAGAGGAACTGGTTTTCGGTAATGGAAGATGGCGTAAAACGGGTATGCTGAAACGCAAGTATGGTCAAGTACACATATTGAGAAACAACCAAAGTTGTAACGGACTCAGGGCATGGTGTAGACGGCAAAAAAGGGTGATTATCCACATACGGCTCCAAGACAAAAAGGGGTTTATATTAAGGAAAGTGAATACACTGGGCAAGACTACAACCAAAGGATCACAAGGGGTCAACAAACCGCAAGAAAAGCAGGTCCAGGAACAAGGCAACACTGGGAGCAAGAACAGGCAAGGAAACAACACGCAGGAACACAGCACAAAGTCAGTGACTCATTAAGGAACTGAACACAGGCATCAGAGCAAACAAGGAATGGGTGCAAAGCATAATCAGATTAACAAATCAAAAAAGGGCTCAGGACAAGGAACAGGTATGGCAGATTACAGTTAAAGGAGCATGAAACTAAAGAACCTTAACAAATCAAGACTAGAAACTAGGAGGCATAACACAGAGGGCTGAATACACGGGACAAAAAATAAAATCACGGGCAGGATAGGACAGCGCTGACCCTGACACAAAGTGTCCATTTTGTTTGTTTTTCAACAACATTGGAGGACTCTGGGACTTCTGTTCTGCCAACATAATATGGAAGTAAGAACAAGGGCAACACTTACCTACGGACTGTGTTCTGGAAATCTCTATAAATTTGAATTCTCTGCATGGGTGAAGTGAGTTTCATGTGTTGACATTTCCTGGCGATTGACTTCCGGCTCATCTTGTCTTCGAAATGGACTCTTGCTTCTCCCGGCTGCACCCTCATACCATTAATCTAAGTCTGATTGGGCTGTGACTCCCGGTGGCGTTTTTACTATAGCTGTCCCTTCATTTCTTCATTATGCCTGTGTTTTCCAGGCGGCCGTAAAGGTTTGAATACGTAACAAATCATTACAGTGTTATGCAACAGTCTGGCTAGGTAATCCTGAACTCTGTGGCTCACTCCTAAGCATCGAGATAAATAGATGGCAGATTATCATCAAAAGGCTGTTACTCTTCGCGGCAATCCCTTTAATGTTACATTCAAATATTATTTTGAATAGATATTACTAACTGTATAAACTGTATACAAGTGGCCCATGCACTCAACCGAACCCCATTTACTATTATGCTCACGACTGAACTTGGTGTTTGAAGAGCAGTGAGCCTCAGAGCTTCTTCGGGCTGTTTGGAATAGCCAGGGGATCTTCTGACATTTCTGGCGCCCTCGAATTTCACAACAGCAGCCCGTCTGTAAGCAGCCTCGGTGCTGTGTACCAACTATCCTTGGGGCGGCTTTGACGGCCTTCAAATGAAACCTCGAGAGCACGTGACTGGAGAAATCTTAACTCACAGAAGCTGTTGACTAATCGTGCTTAATGAAGTCTATTCTTCACTGCGACAGTGCCTTCCAGTTTAAATATATAAACTTCAGACCTGACAGAAACACAGCCCTGGGTCTCAATGGGTGTCCTTCAAGTCCAGATTACACCATGGAGTTTGTGGTTTTAATTGTAAACATAAATAGCACCTCATGTCAAACCACTAGGCGGAGCTTTTCAGGGTTTGCTTCGTAGTATTTTTAGATACAGTAAGTACTTTTTGGGGGAAAGTAAGAAAATATATCACTTTTTGGTTCGAGACGTCGGTTTCTCAGCTTTAAACTTTGGTTGCACTTCTGACTGTGCTGATACAGTGTGTGTGGAAATGCAGCTTCTTTAGTCTTTAATCTCCATCGTAATCAGGATTACAGAGTGAACATCTTCCTGAGGCAGCGGTGGAACGATCCCAGACTGCGGCTCCCCACGGAATTCAAGTCTGACGCCCTCACCGTGGACCCCAAGATGTTCAAATGCCTTTGGAAACCAGACTTGTTCTTCGCCAACGAGAAGAGCGCCAACTTCCATGATGTCACACAGGAGAACATCCTGCTGTTCATTTTCCGCAACGGTGATGTGTTGATTAGCATGAGGTAATCTGGTCGGATCTCCACGTGCTCTGGGGCGTATCTTTATGGGTGGTTGACAGAAAGATAAATACTCAGCAAATTTAAGATCAATTGTTAAGCAGTAAACAAAATAGCATCCAGTTAGTATTTGATTTTCATGCCTGTCGTTCTTTGTTTTTATGATGCTATGTGTTTCCTCTGTGCCCAATCCCCAGGTTATCGGTCACTTTATCCTGTCCTCTGGATCTGACTTTATTTCCCATGGACACCCAGCGATGCAAGATGCAGCTAGAGAGTTGTATGTGAACCTAGCATTTGAAATCCCACATCGAGCTGGGTTGCCTCTTATTACGTTATCTTACCCTATAAGCTAGCTACATTAGCGAAACACTTAGCATTAGCTGTTGTGATAGCAGTTATTGTAGCGGAAGAGAGTTGGGCAATAAATGTAGCTGCTGTCCTGGGAAAATGTTGCAAATTTCATTAACCAAAGTATGCATTGCGAATATTTAGTTTCATGTGTGTGTGTGTGTGTGTGTGTGTGTGTGTGTGTGTGTGCGCGTATTTCAGTTGGTTACACGACAGATGACCTAAAGTTCAGTTGGCAGTCGGGAGACCCAGTGCAAATGGATGAAATTGCACTGCCTCAGTTTGACCTTAAACAAGAGGATATCGAATATGGAAATTGTACCAAATACTACAAAGGGACCGGTAGGTCTTGCGTTTCTTCCTGTTAACGTGAAGTTGAGTAAACATGCTTTTTACCCACAGTCGATGCTTGTACTTTGTGATTTGAAGGATGATCTAACCGTACATTGCTCTAAAACTGCCGTCCTTTTTTGCGGCGCGCCATCCTTACGATAAGATACCGTAGAACACAAGCTGTGGTCTGAAGCTTGGCCCCAGATTGACTTCTCCTGACATCATGTGTCTCATGACAGCCCCATAATTACCGTCAAGCCGAAATTACGAAGCATTCATTTAGCTTGGCAGTGCAATATGGTTTGGGGGGCTCATGCCCTCCATACATGAATAATTCTCTTTGGGGGGAACAAAAAATACTATTGGCAGAAAATAAATGAGGAGAAAGTAATTTCTTTCCTTTGGAGTTCAGCTTTGGCAGAGCCTGCTCATTCATCTGGCAGCGCTGCAAAAGCTCTTCTCATAACTAGCTAATATGCAGCCAAATGTATATGATCAAGAAAACCCTCAAAAGCTGCGTGATGTACATTTCTGTCGAGTTACAGGCTGCGGCCTGAGGCTGCGGCCTCAGAGAGTGACACCGCCTGTATCCCCAGCTAAAGTTCTCTACTCGTATTTTTCATGTTGCGGTTACTATGCTTGCAGACTTTTGTTGTGTACTTGTGCGTGTCTTTTTGCTTTTGTTGTGTGTGTTTGTGTATTCATGTACTTTTGTGGTTTGTAGCATGTTGAAGACAAAATGTGACATTCGGCAAGAAGGTCTGTGCTGTTTCCTTGAACTTGTCTTAGGCTGGGTGAAGAGACTATTCTGCAGGTGCTCTTATACATGCTTTCTATGTATAAGGAAAAACTTTCCGTTTAATTTGTTTTAATAGTGTTTTTTTCTCTCTCTCTCTTTTTATACATATGCATCCCCTAAAATTGTATGTTGATTACTGATAGACTTAATGGTTAGTTATGTATAGTATCTAATTATATTAGAATACTGTTATTATACGTATTAATGGTGAATGCAGATCCACAACATACATCGAGCTGCTAAAACACCATGGCATTTGTTTTAGACAAGCTCGCATTCTCTAGCATGCCTTCACACGCTGTCGTTGATGCAAGGCAGCGGGGGGCGGTGGGGAGGGGGGTAGGCTTTAAATGCGCGGGTCTGAGTCGGCTGCAGGTCATGGTTGCCTTTTGTTCCCTCCTGGCGTGCCCGACGGCACAACGCCTGTTAAAGCAAGTCTCAGAGAAAACCTCCAACCAGCCGGCCTTGACATCGCGCTCAGTCGCGTGCGATGTGGGGCACTGGGATGGGCTTTAGGGGGCGCCAGATCTGGCAGAGGGACAAAAGGGCAAAAATTAAGCATTAATCCAGCCTGATAACTGCCTGGCAAACAAAAACAAAATGGTAGCCTGCGTTGAAAGTGGTCACTCACCAAGAATAGTGCATTATCTCAGAAGATGCTAAAGACAATGATTTTTATCGAGTGTTACAAAATGGGCATTAACTTCAGAAAAATAAATGCGTTTATGCTTTCTGGACTTATTGTCAGATATCCCTGTGAAGGACGCTTTATGGTCCTGCGTGTCCGTTTGACGCGTATTGGGTAGTACAGTCACGGGGTTGATTGGCTTTCCCGATCCCGCTTGCTTTATGTACGGCCTGGGCGACTTGCATGTGGACGTCCATGTGCTCATTGGCTTTTAGCGGGAAATGCCTGCCTGTTTGCCCTGAGCGCGGCCCGGCGTCCGGCCCCGGCTCAGAGTGCCTGTCTCCGCAGGGTATTACACCTGCGTGGAGGTGATCTTCACTCTGAGGCGGCAGGTCGGCTTCTACATGATGGGCGTCTACGCGCCCACGCTGCTCATCGTGGTGCTGTCCTGGCTGTCCTTCTGGATCAATCCGGACGCCAGCGCCGCCCGAGTCCCTCTGGGTATAAATGCCAAGGCCGTCACGTCGGACCCGTCCGAAAATCACCGCGTCCGCCCCGCCGCCCCATTCCATCACTGAAACCCCTCCCACCCCAATCACGCCCCGCTGTCCTGTTACCATCCTGTCTCCACACACCTGTTCCTCTCGCCCCGAGGGCAGCAGGGAAATGGCTTCGTCTCAGGTCAGTCACGTCTTGCCTGAGTGTCCGTGCCCGTGGGTTTGAGTGGTGTTGTTCTGTGTGTCATCCGCTGCGATTCAGTTTGTCATGTCATGTCGGATACCACATACCTGCTCCACTCACTGGGAAACGGGGAATGTCGGTCGAATAAGTGTTTGACTTGCATAACAGTGTGAAAGAGAGGCTGCTTAGAAAAGGATTCAACTCTATGTCCTCTTTACATTTCTTACAAATGTTAATAGTTTACTTATTGTCTGACACGTGTGGAGTATAATATTTAATGGTGTTTTCGGTAAAATCCACCTGTTTGAAAAGTTAAAATGTGAAAGCGAAGTAATGTGATATGATAAATGTGTAAGTATATTACTGGATATGATGTTTCCTTGGTAACTGTAGCAGTGTAGCTTGGATAAAGGGGTGTCAATTTGCCGGCGTGTTCCGCCCGGTCCGCGTCGCGCTGTTGACCCGTGGATCTCCTGCTGCCAGGCATCCTGTCGGTGCTGTCGCTCTCCTCCGAATGCACCTCCCTGGCCTCAGAGCTCCCCAAAGTGTCGTACGTCAAGGCCATCGACATCTGGCTCATCGCCTGCCTGCTGTTTGGCTTCGCCTCGCTGGTGGAGTACGCCGTGGTGCAGGTGATACTCAACAACCCCAAGATGATCGAGGCGGAGAAGGCAAAGCTGGCCAGCAGGGAGAAGGCGGAGGGCAAAGGCAGCACCATCAACGGCACCGGGGGCACGCCCCTCCACGTCAGCACGCTCCCGGTCAGTACGCCCCTCCACGTCAGCACGCTCCCGGTCAGTACGCCCCTCCACGTCAGCAC